TTATAAACCAGCAGCAGTATTTTGAAATCTATTCTTTGACACACAGGAAGCCAGTGTAAAGACTTCAGAACAGGAGTGATGTGATCCACTTTCTTAGTGTTAGTGAGGACTCGAGCAGCGGCGTTCTGAATCAGCTGCAGCTTCCTAATATATTTTTTAGTGAGACCTGTGAAGACACCATTGCAGTAGTCGAGTCTACTGAAGATAAAAGCATGGACAAGTTTTTCCAAATCCTGCTGTGACATTAGTCTTTAATCCTAGATATATTCTTTAGGTGATAGTAGGCTGATTTAGTAACTGTTTTAATGTGACTGTTGAAACTCAGGTCAGAGTCCATGACTACACCTAGATTTCTGGCTTTATCTGTTGTTTTGAACATTGCAGACTGAAACTCAGCGCTAACTTTTATACGTTCTGACTTGGCTCCAAAAACCATTACCTCAGTTTTATCTTTGTTTAATTGGAGAAAGTTCTGACACATCCAGTCATTGAATTGTTCAATGCACTTACTCAGTGTTTGAATTGGAGCATAGTCTCCTGGTGAAATTGTTACGTAAATGTGTGTGTCATCTGCATAGCTATGGTAACTTATTTTGTTGTTCTTCATTATCTGAGCCAGTGGTAGCATGTAGATGTTAAAGAGAAGAGGCCCCAAGATGGAGCCTTGAGGAACCCCACATGTCATATTTGTCAACTCAGATGTGTATTTACCTATAGAAACAAAGTTGTTTCTGTCCTTTAAGTAGGATTCAAACCAATGTAGAACTGTTTCCTAAAGTCCCACCCAGTTTTCCAGTCGGTCTAGTAATATGCTGTGGTCAACAGTGTCAAACGCAGCACTGAGATCTAATAATACTAACACTGAAGTTCTGCCACTGTCTGTGTTTAAGTGGATGTCATTAAAGACCTTTACAAGAGCAGTCTCAGTGCTGTGGTTTGGACAAAAGCCTGACTGGAACACATCGAAACAGTTATTTAAATGCAAGAAATTACTCAACTGTTGAAAAACAACTTTTTCAATGATTTTACCTAGAAATGGGAGGTTTGATATGGGCCCGTAATTGTTCATTACTGAAGCATCTAGATTATTCTTTTTTAAGAGCGGTTTAATGACTGCAGTTTTCAGGGCCTGTGGAAAAATACCTGAGTGAAGAGATTTGTTTACTATATGAAGTAGATCTGAGGCCATGCAAGGCAAAACATCTTTAAAAAATCCTGTTGGAATAATATCAAGGCAGCAAGAGGAGGATTTCAGAAGTTGTATAATGTCCTCTAGGTTTTTATCATTAATCTGATGGAATTGTGTCATGGTGTTTGAATTGATGTTAAGTGGACACAGAGACAACACATTTGCTGTTCCTGATGCAGAGGCACTGACTGCTTGTCTGATTTTCTGAATTTTGTCAGTGAAAAAGGAGGCAAAATCATTGCACACCCTGGTGGATAGAAATTCAGAGGCTACTGACACTGGGGGGTTAGTTAGTCTGTCGACGGTAGCAAACAAGGCACGTGCGTTGTTTTTGTTTTTGGTAATGATGTCAGAGAAGAACGATTGTCGTGCGTTTTTTAATTCCAAATTATAAAGGCCAAGTCTCTCTTTATAGATTTTCAAAGTGATGAGTGAGATTTGTTTTTCGCCACCTGCGTTCAGCTTTTCGACATTCTCTTTTTTCTGTTTTCACGCTCATGGCCTTTCTCCATGGAGATATTTTCTTGCCAGACACTTCCTTTACCTTAGTTGGAGCAATGGCATCTATAAACATTTTTATTTTTGAATTAAAATGATCTACTAGCTCATTTACTGAGATGTTAGCAGGGGCAAGTGTGGAAGAAAAATTCTGAGTAAACAATTCCCAAGTATTTTCAGTTAAATATCGCTTTGTGGTTACCTCTTTTTGAACATTTTTGTGAACAAAAATAGAGCTCTCAAAGAAAACACAGGAATGGTCAGAGAGTGCAACATCAGTCACCACAACCTTAGAGATATTCAGACCCTTTGAGATAATTAAGTCCAGAGTGTGCCCCTTATTGTGCGTGGGCTCCGTCACATGCTGAGTCAGTCCATAGCTATCAAGAACACAAAACAGTTATTTTGCCCCTCTGTCCTGGGGGTTGTCAACATGGATGTTAAAATCACCAACAATGACTAGACGGTCAAAGTCAATACACACTATAGACAGCAGTTCAGTAAAGTCATCAAAAAAGCTTGCACAGTATTTGGGTGGTCTATAGATATTTAGGAACAGAGCTCGAGAGGAGCATTTCAGCTGAAGGGCCACATATTTAAAAGAATCAAAGTTTCCATACGATGTCTTCCTGCATTGAAGGGAATCATTGAACAGAATAGCAACTCCACCCCTTTCTTATGCATTCTTTCCTGACTCATAAAACTAAAGTTGGGAGGGGTTGATTCGATAAGAACAGCTGCACTGTTATTTTGTTCAATCCAAGTTTCTGTTAAAAACATAAAATCGAGATTGTGCTCAGTGATAAAATCATTGATTAAAAATGTTTTTCCTGCCATAGACCTGACATTTAATAAAGCTAGTTTAAGTTTGTTAAACACACTATCAGTCATGTTTTTTGTAACAAGCTGTGGCTGACATGGAATCACTGCTAAATTAGATAAACTCACACAAACTTTTGAGCGCTTCCTGTATCTAAGATGATTCACCGCTCTTAATCTATTACCTATCAACACAGATATCGGCAAAGCTATAGGCAGGCAGGGCCCCGGCATGTCCTGGAAAGAGTTGAGAGTGCCATACGCCCTTGAGCCTGGACTCAGCAAATATCAGTTTGCAGCGTTTAGTACACACACATCCTTATCAGGCTTCGGAGACTGCAGATACCCTCTCGAAGGGAGGGGGGGCGGCCGACGCAGGCACGGTGATGGAGACGTGGGAGATGGTGCGGGTGTAGAGGACATGCTGCCAGGGGGGGGAGGTGGTTGACGCAGGCACGGCGATGAAGACGGGGGAGACGGCGCGCGTCTCCGCGGCGATTTTGGTGGGCGTCGCTGAGGAGCGGGGGTAAAGGACATGGTGCCAGCCCTGCGAATCGACTTAGTTTGGTCTTTGAACTCCAGGAAGGAATCGGTGCCAACCCTCTGTATCTCCTTCATGTGTTCAACGATCCCCAGGAGGGTGGGCGAGGGTGAAAGGGTGAACGGAGTATCCTCAAAGGCGTTGACAGGGGGGGGGGGGGGGGGGTGACGGGCAGTGGAGACTCCTCAATGTGTCTCCCATAATCAGAACATTCCTCAGGCGGGTGCAGTGATAATTCTTCAGGGTTTTCTGCGTGATGTGTTGTGTCTTTCCCCTGTTTTGATTCCTCTTGCCGCTTGTCCTTGGCAGAGGGAACAGATTGATAACACAGGCAGTTGAATATGTTAGAGATAAACAATTTCACTCCTGACTTGTTCAGGCAAACTCCATTTGCCTTGAAAAGATGTCTGCGGTCCCAGAAAAAGTTAAAATTGTCAATAAAATGAACAGAATGGTCAGTACAGACAGTTGAAAGCCAGGTGTTCAGTGCAAACAATCTGCTGAATCTCTCCACTCCTCTTCTGACTGGCGGCAGAGGGCCACTGATGAACACCTCTGCATTTAGAGAGCTGGCAGTTTCCAACAAACATTTAAAGTCTTCTTTCAGCACTTCTGACTGTTGTTTCACAACATCATTTGTTCCAATGTGTAGTACCACATTATTCACAGTTGGATGTTCAGCCCCAATATGCAGGATCTTCTCAGCCAAGTCAGAGACCACATCCTTGGGAAAACAGAGTACTTTGGTGTTGTTCTTATTACACAGACCTTTTACATCTCTTACAGCAGAGTCACCCACAATCAGAGTTTTAGGCCCAGTCGTTAGCTTTCCCTCTAGCCTTTTACTTTTGGAGTAGCTATTGGTCCTTACCCTGCTGTGTGAAGAGGACAGGTTATCCAGTTCATCAGATCTCCGGTTCTCGGTCAGCGGAGCGTATCTGTTCTGGATTGGCACACTTGGTGGTTTAGGAGGATTTTTTGTAGTTCTCCCTTTAGCAGCTGTCCACTGCTGTTTCCTAGTATGAATAGGGGTTGAAGAGGCGCTCTTCCTGGGTGATAACAATGCAGGCCAGCCGGTCGCATCACAGATTTGAGAGCGCTGGGCTCTGCCTGTTATCCGTCCTCCCAAATCCCATGGAAATGATTTACTCTTAGGCTTTGCACCCAGAGAGTTCCAGGGAGGACTACCACTTGTAGATTTATTACCCGGTACACAGCCCTCCTGTTCCTTGGAATCCTTGTAGCTGCTAACTAGCTGTGAGTTAGCATACCCTTCTCCATTGTTTTGCAACATTGGTAAAGTGGTGTCATTCCCATGACATAGTCCATTCACTTCCACGTTAACTTCCAACCGTTGCATTTTCATTTCCAACACAGCTATCTTCTGTATAAGTTTGTGGAAGTCATCTGTAGAGAACGGAGGCATTTTGCTACCAACTAGCTTAAGCTAAATAGCATGCAGTAGCCTACCAGGCTTTAGCTGTTGCTAGGCCACGCTACTGTAAGACTGAGGTCGTCGTAAAAATGTTGAAATATGGCTGAAACCCTCCGTCTATTTACGAAGATGAACTGTCCCAGTGATAAGTTAATGTCCAGGAGCCGCTGCTCGAAGTTTTCAGAGAATAAGAATAGGAAAATCAGCATAAAAAGTAAGCAGAGGCAGGAGCAAGCAGAAAAGCGTCTGCACTGTAAGAAAGAAAACCAAGAGAGTACACTTCTTTACTCAGTTATCAATACCTCCTAACTTCCTAAATGAAATTATAATGTGTTTATGATTCATTCACCTGGATGTTTAAGGACTTTTTTATTTGGATGCGATAATATTCATAGTCCTTTCCTAACTAGACAGACTGTGTCTTTAAATGCCAGTTATTTCCTGATCAGGATGTCGTCTAAAAGCAGTAACACTGAATAACACTGTATTTTATTGTGCTCTTTATTTATTCTCTTTAGACATCCACTGCCACTGTGAACATTGTCGTCACTGATGTCAACGATAATGACCCGGAGTTTGACCCGACCATAACCACTAATTTTACTTTTCAAGAAGAGGAGGCCAATTTTTTTGTCGGACAAGTCAGGGTAAGTGTGATGTCTTGTTTTTTATAACGTTAATGAGCTGCTTCGCCAACCTACTGTAGGTCCACTTATCCCTCTTTGGTAGCCATCCATAGAACGTTAACATTGTTATTTCCACTGTTTCATCTCTACATGTCCTTTGTGATCATTTGTAACAACTGTGTCTCAGTTCACATATTTGTTATCTATTACAACATTTCCTGACATTTTACAACATGGTCAGATGTGAGCTGCATCCCTGTTGACCTGCTTGTTTCAGCACCACTGAGCAGCCAGACTTTTCTAATTACGGTTGTAGATTAATTAGCCTGATGTTTGCCAGTGGATTAATTATGGAATAATAACAGGAGACATTATCTGCATATACAGTACAGTTCATGCTTACAAAGTAACATAAAGGCAAATAGATCCTGTACCCAAATCCCCACATTTCCTCGCAAATTACTGTTTTGAAACCTAGTTTTGTAAAGCAATACAGTTCAGAGTAACATTTCAAAACCGTGGACCAGTAGGCTATCTAGGGATTTATATGGCTTGGTTGAGGGAAGTAACAAAATCAGTCCGTGTCTAAAAAGAGTTTGATCTGAGTTTGAAACTTTTTGCAGAAATTGCTTTTTGATCCAGGTCCACAAAATCAGAAAATAAAATGGAATAATGATGGTCCCAGCAGACCCGGTGGCAGACATACGTCTCTGGGCGGGCATTTGATTTACCAGGGCGGGCCCACCCCGAAACTTACTTTCCCGGGAAATCTCGAGATTTGTCAAGGGGGGGGTTTAGGTTGCCATAAGGCTGTTGACGGTCTTATTATAGGCTACATCCATTGGTTGGTTTTGTGGCACATTTGTAACGCTGTGCCAACTTGGGCAAGCACGCAGGCAAACTTGAGCGCACACAGGGTGGAGAGGTGGAGAGAAAGGGAGAGAGAGATTGAGCGAGGCAGAGAGCATGTGCAGCGGTCTGCTTGCGCACAGAGCAGGAGTTTGTGAGAGAGCCGGCTTGAGAGTCCATTTCTCTTCAAAATATAATTGATTGCCAGCCTCCCTTGTCCCTGGCTGGCTTGCTAGCTCGTTGGTAACGTAACTGATGTCTTCTACTGTGCCTGCATCTGGCGCTGAGTTGCCATATTCCTTTCAAGTGTATAAGTGTGAACCACTTCCTGATATCCATTGTTGCAGATAAATATAAATGATAATAGCCAAACTAACCTAGCAAGAGTAAACTGACAGGCTGCTGTGCCGCATCTCACTCAAAAATCCACACGACTCAATTCAGCGAAAAACCAGCCTTTCATTCAGAATTTCATAGCAACATAAAAAAAATGATATTAAACTAATCTTTCAACATAGTTTAAAACAAAAATAAATATTAGGACAAAGCCCTACAAATAACAACAATAAACATAATCAGTGGCGGTGGTAGGGCTAACCCATACAGTGCATGGTGGGGCTCAAGTCAGTATTTGCAATGTAATTACATACACACTCCCCTTGACAGTGAAACGCTATGTGTGAGGTTTAGATTATTTCCCTGTCTCAATCCAAATTGAACTGTATGAAATAAAAAGGCACATTTGTCTTGTAGTAAATAAAAAGGGCGACCTGGAGCCAATCCTGCAATTTCCCCACAAGTGAAAGAGTTAACATGCTGAAAACCCAACCCCTGCAGGGGGGTCTGGGGCGAATCTCCCCCAGGAGATTCTTTGAAATACTAACATAAAATACACATTCTGGTACTCTCTTGAGAAGAAAAATAAATAAATCTATTACTACACGACATATTTAAAAAAATGAATGCCATTTTAGTTTTTTGTTACTTTGTTCTGAAAGCTGAACCTGCTGCTCCTCACAGAGAGAAGAGGGAAGAGGCTGTGTGAATTACTTTACATTGTGGATAAGGGTGGATAGCCCCCATTGTTCTGTGTGTCAAAATGAAAGACAGCCCACACACCTATCAATCATCAAACCGTGGGGTCTTATTTCATTATGTGTTGATTTCTATCAACACGTAATGTTGTATAGATGTGTATAGATTTACTACAGCAAAAGTATTCTCCGTCGGGACTTCCTGCAACAACACCACGTCGTTATCGTGATTCTGATTGGCCAGAAGACATTATCAAAGATGTTCTATTGAGAAGATGATCACTACGTGACAAAAGTTTTCAAACCGTTTCTAGTCTTCGGTATTTACTGCTGTCTATTACTCCGCGCGAGTTGGCGGACTTTATTTAGCTTCTTTAAAATCATTTTTCATGGTGGGGCTAAGCCATTTATTGGTATGGCTGTAGCCTACCCCAGTATACCCTGGCGCCGCCACTGAACATAATAATAAAACAATTAAAATGTTGTATTCAGCCCTGATTAAAACAGCGGGCCCAAATCCTGGATGGGCGGGCCCGGCCCCATGGGGCCCGCCCATGACGCCGGGTCTGGGTCCCAGTGAGATGAATATATTTAGTTTGATAATGACTTGCCCATGCTAATGAGCATGAGCAGTACATTGAGTATATCAAGTAAGTCAGTTGCACTGTTTTACATATCAATGAGTCTCACACAAGATAATGGCTGCTGTAAGTAATTATTGAACCCTGAGAGCAGGACACACTGAAAAGAGTCAAGGAAAAAAGTTAACAGCATTTAATTACACAAAAGATGCGGTGATGTACAAATTAAATTTGCGAGTGGAGGCGCTCTCCCCATGCGTCCGGTCAGTCGAGGTCAGGGAGAAGAAGAGCTCTTCCTGTGGTCATCCGAGGTCTTCTCCTATTGACCGGCGTCGTCGGGGGGCGGGTCCAATGCAATTCCTGCCTTTTTCTGTTGCTAAATTACATCATGCTGGTGTCTGTGGTTATTTAAACATTCCCTAATAAACGTGATTTCAGCGTCAATAAATTAGTGTTAAACCCAGTGTGTTTAGGGTACAACATCACATCATTTCACCTTCAATTCACGGTTTGAAAACGTAGCATTTTGCCACATGCTAATGCTAACCGGAAATGACGAACTTCACTAGCGGTTAACCGGAAGTAGTGTGAATATTCGGTTTTTAGAATAAAACAGATTTAATTGAAATACAGTGTATTTAATTCAAATTACGCCATATCAACATTGATTTTAATTTCTAACACTGCGTACAAGTTAGGATTTCTATGGTGATATTTCCAAAATATCTCCGTGTTCAGTATATCTGGCTTCAAATGTTTACCAATCAAAAAGTTTAAATATTTTTGCCATCACTTCAGAAAATCATATTTTGATAAAAGTATTTGCTTCTGTGCTATGACAATTCCTTATCCTTGTAATTGCTAATGCAAACAATACATTTGCCATAATGTAAACAGTCACTGTCATAATAGTCTAATTTTACAGGATATATTCAACATGTGGCATCCCATTACATTTTTCAGTAGGTAATCAAATAGACTACCAGAAAATGTTTTGATTTTATGAACTGTGAAATTAGACAAAAGGACATGTGAATGAAGCTTGGTGTTTGAATGAGGTTAAGCTTTCCTCACAAACGCAGCCAGCAGCTGGATTAGGATTTACCCACCGTCTCCGTCTCTCTGTCCTGCCTCGGAAGGTTTTCTCAGCTGGCACCTTGCCAACTTGAACCAAGGATGTGATTTTCTGACTGAAAGAAAAGTACATTAAAGTACTTAGTTCTACACAATTCTGCTCTCCATGCGCATAGAGCGGCTAAAGTTTAGCCTGTTGTTGCTGATCGAGCATTTTTTTTTATGCAAATTTTATGCAAAATCTCAGGTAATTAGCACAATGTAATTTTTATGATCCGACATTTGAGAAGAACATGTGACAATACCAAGAGTTGGATATGTTGGACAATGTTCCTAAAGGTTGACTTTGCAAACCCCTCTTGTATATGAACAGTTGTAGCTACGCAGATGACACCTGATTTACCTCCTAAATCAAAAGACAGTACACACATAGATGTATTAGGTCATTAAACAGATGTTTCAGTTACAGAAGGGAAAATCAAAGATATTATTTCTATATAAATAATAAAATATAGAATATGTTCTTATATAAATAAAGACCCAACACTATGTTAGAAATGTTTGTTTAATAAATCAATCATTGCAGTAACCCTTAGTCCTTTTGCTGACAACATGCTATACAAGAGGTTACACTTCCTGTTTCATGCCTTCATCTCATGCTGAATGGGCTGCTGCTGTCGTCTGTTATCTGCTCTTTCAACCATTCAACTGCTGCTGAAGTTCTTACAAGAGTCAGGAGAACTGAGCACATTATACTTACTCTTACATTTTTATTCTGGCTTCCAGTTCGCCATAAAAGATTATAAAGCTGCTTTTATTTTACAAACCACTTTATGACTTGTGTCATAAATGCGTTTTTGATATGCTTAAAGAATATAAATCCGGTATGTCCTCTCAACCTTTATCTTACAGTGTGAGAAATGGATGTGGTGCAGCAGTTTTTAGCTTCGATCTTGCAAAACTACTGATATTTGTATATACCCAACTTTAGCCGCTTTCAAATCTATCTAAGAACTTTCTGTCCTCTTTCCCCTGATTAACGTATTACTACATTGAAACTATTCTATAAACTACACAATTCCTTTTTTTAAACACATATCTATTCAATTTATTCAGTTTTAATGTATTATTCTTTTATCTTGTCCAATTTAATTGACTTTTGTGAAGGCCACGTTTTGAGGGGCGATAGAAAAGGGTACTTTAATAATAAATAATACACATTAAACTTTATATTTCATAACATTTCATAAAAAGTGAACACAGTTGTGAACATGTATAATACACTCACACCAAAGAAGCAACGATGCAATTTAATTGATAACCTACTATTGTGTTTCTTGTATCTTGTATGAGATCTGCTCATAACACATTGTTTGAGATCATGCCCTTCAGAGGGAGGCTTCTAAATAGGATAACACAATAGTTGGTGTTGTTCTCTAAGATTGTATTTGTAGATGCAGGCAAGCTGTCTGGAGACTACTCACAATATAACTCTGGGCTCTAAATGTATTAAATTACCCCATTTGTAGCATTTATATTCAAATGGCCAATAACGGTTTGCAATGTAAAATAAAATGCCCCTTTGTGACTTGTTTGCATTTTTCTTATCTCTCAGTTTAGCCCCATTAAGACATCCTAGAGTTTCTCAGGCCATTAATGATACAACACAGCAGTGTAGTGGGACAAACTAAAGGTCTTCTTTTATTAAACAGACTCTGACGTCTCTGGTTGCAACAAAGCAGGAGGACCAATTATTGAATATTAGATATGTTGAGTTCATGGGGGGGACACAACTCCATATGCCAATGGAGTAAATGGGAAAAACAAAAAGCATCATCACTAAATGTATACAACTGAATTGTTCATCTCTCATCCCCCTAGTCCAGGCCCTTATCTCTTTCCACGGGTCAGAATAATGTCTTGTTATATGGAGATTTGTTTAGGAGCTTTTTCTTCATAGTATTATTAAACAGATGTTGTCCTTATCAGATCAGTAGCTTACAGTTGTTTTTAGATGACAAACTAAGTAAGGGGTCAAGGGACAAATGAAGGAAGGGATAAGAGACTGACTGATTGAACTATGATGGTATTGGGTGATTGAATTATTTCCCCCTTAAATGTGACTGTTTATTTTATAATCAGTTGTTTCTTTTTTTCTTTAGCGCCTTGAAATTCCCTGCAGACAGAGAGTCATAATGCAGTCAACGTTAAGCCTTCGGGCAAATGCATAACGCTATAAAGTAGCTTAATGCTAGCCCTAAAGCATTTTGGATCATCGTTAGAGTAATTGGAACTCGTTCCCACCTGTTCTTATTTTACCAACACAGAGGATTTACTAGGATATTGCAATTGACAGATTTTCTGCAGTGATTTGTTCGGTGGATGACAAATCCTGCAAAATACAAGCCCACATTGTTTGCTCACAGCAGGGAGCATGCAGATGACCAGGGGACAAATCAGTATTCTAGTCAGACACATAATGGAAGCATGTTGTTGAGTTGTTGCTGATTGGAGAGGCTGTTGAACGTAACGTCATTTATTTTTCACAAAGCATATTTCTTAGTTAAGTGAGTTTGACGGTTTCATCCTGCTTCTAATTGAAGACATTTGCATGATTATATATGATGCATTTCCCTTTGTTAGCACACATACAACATTGCACGTTTTTGTTGAGTGCTAATGTTGTCTTTGAGAATACCCAGGGTTCAGCCAAACATAATTTACCTACATTCACAGAGAACACTTAAACATTTGTTTTAGGTTTTAGCATCAATCATTCTAAACGTTGACAATGCTTGTTTTTTAAATGCAACCATTAAAAAAAATCCACTGGACCCACACAGGCAGCACACAAAGGAGACAAGTGTTCAGGTATATATTAGAGGACTGTGTGGGCTTGGTTTTTAAAGACTGTAGCCACCTGCTCAAGCTGCTTTTTGTGCTGTAACCACCTGACACGCAGGATATTCCTCTACTCCCACAATCGATTTACCGAGCCTGCCCACCAGCTCACAATCTGAAGTCTGTGCCAGTTCCCATCTCCAAATTATTGAAAAACTTGATGAACGACTGCCACACGCTGTTACAGAGTGATGAAGAACATGCTATTTTTTGGTGCCAAAGAATACAAAAATTGCCTTGTAATTTAGTGCTAATTCATTTGGTGAGCAATTAAACCAACAGCTCTACAGCCTTAAACAGGGCCTTATAAAAGGACCGCCTGTCTTTGTTAGTGTCAATGAACATCTGCTGCATGTTGACTGGGACTTGCCCTGCACAGACTTCATTAATACATACAGCACTGTGTCTATTGGAGGCTATGTAAATATGCAGTTTGATTTTATTGACCATGAATTAATTGGAGAACACCCCTCACAAGGCAGGGAGCACTGAAAGTGTTTTGTTTGTTATGTAATCTTCACAGAGACGTAGTGATCCATATGCACATGTTGACGTGATATGCTTTAGTCTGCTTTGCATATTGCTGAGGTCCAATTTTAGCCTTTCAATATTTGTCAGGCACATCATGTAAAACAAATTGGGGATGGCTTTCTGCAGCCATGTGTGAATGTGTATCCTTCTCCCTCTATCAATGTTTCTCTTTGTTATCTCTCTTTATGCTACCTTGTCCTCACTTGCACTGAGGTTGATCAAATATTGCCAAACAGACAGATGAAATGTGGCTTGATTTCCCTTAGTACTTTTTTTATTTTCCCCTTCCTCTCTCCGTCTCTCTCAGTTACAACAAAGAATTACTACCACACAGGAGACCATTGGATTATGAAAATACACGCACACACACATGTGTAAACACAGGCATGATTGATAACGAGCCACACAGGGATTACATTTTGTTCAGCAGATAACTTATTTTGGCCAAGCAGGATTGTTACAAAATACCTCAATTTGCCTCTGTAAAGATAATGTCTCTGACCTTCTCTTTCTTTCAACTGGTATACTGTACTCTTAATATTTAGAATAGAATCGTTAGAAGAATCACATAAACTTTAAAAGGATGATTTAGCTTTCAAGGATTTCCTTTTGATACAAGGCAGCGTTTGCATGGAAATGGCATGTGGCCTTTTGAACTTACAAATGACTTCTAATGAGTCTGTGACAAAGACTCTAATCTCAACATGAAGAACAGGAACTAGCACTCAAATGTATAACAGTTGTTTCCAATCGGTTGCAGCAGTCTGGCTCACATGGCTTTCTGCTTGAAGCCCCTTTAAATGTGTGAGGCGTTAACATAAAACAAGGCTCTAATGGATCATATAATGGATCACATTAAGCTCACAACAGCTGTTTGCTTAAAGGGAAATACAGCTGCATTTCAGTTGGAAATGTGTTATTACTTTGCATGTGTATTGGTGAATATGTATCACTCTCTGCTATTATTAATGGATGTAAATGGATTATCTGTTTCCCACAGTTTCTCAGGTTGGTTTATTGATGACTGTGTTATTGATATGTCATTTAGCAAGCCCACTACTAAAGATTTGTGGCAGCATACGCAGTCTCTCTGTCCACTGTAAGATAATGGCCATTGCAGCAGTAGCCGACTATTATGCTTCCATTTGGTCATCCAGAACATATTTCACGCCATGTCTCTGTTAAGTTTGCATTGGCAAAGAACACTTCTCAAATGAGTGCAGATATGACGGTGGAGTGAATTACAGGCATTTTAGTTCACTAACTTGCTTTGAGAGCTTAGCAGTAATAATTGGTGATTAGTTGAGAACCACATCAGCAAAGAACGCCATTGTGAGACATTAATTATTATGAATAGTCATTATTTGTTCCTGTATTCCTACACTGACATAAAGGTAGGGCTGCTCGATTATGGCAAAAATCATAATCTCGATTATTTGGGTCAATAATTGATATCACGATTATTAAAAACGATTATCCATTTACTTTGAAAACATCAATTTATTGGAGAATAAAAATGTGAACAGTATGTTTTTAACAGTTATAATAATGAAAAAATAATCGTTTTATTTTGATTACGTTGTTTTCGTAATCGTTGCAAGCCATAATCGTAATTGCGATTAAAATACGATTAACTGAGCAGTCCTACTTAAAGGTCACCTATTATGCAAAATCCACTTGTTCATGTCTTTTACCCATGTTACCTTGGTTGGTTATTGGCTAATGGTTACACAAGCCAAAAAATCGTTATGACATCATAAAGTGGCCATACTCTGATCAGCTCATTTTCAGACAGATTTTTATAGAAATGGATCAGGACAAAAAGTGAGTGAATTATTTTTCCTGAAACTTTCTGAATCTCTTAAAACACCTGCCCACCTTACACCTGCATCTCCTCCTAGAGCACCATTGTGTTCTTTTTAACCAAATATCTCGCAAAGGGGCGTGGGGACTCTCACGACTCCACTTCGAGCAATAGATTTACTAACAAAGAATTGCTAACAAAGCACTTATATACTAATAAAGGACTGGCTTATCTAAAGCAGTTGAGTAGCACTTGAAATGTTTTGTCTCTATGAAACCTGATGTACTTATATGATTCTGTTTTCTTCAAGTTTGTATCTTCCTGGTCAAATGCACCTATTGTAAGTCGCTTTGGATAAAAGCGTCAGCTAAATGTAATGTAATGGGAGTGGCTCCTTATTTTCATCTAAAGTAACAGACAGAGAATCAGAATTTTTTAAACAGGGCTGAAACAGAGGGGTTTATGGGATGCTACAATGATCTGTTTGGTATTTCGAGCAAAACACTTCAAAGACATGTTTTGAATATATCTGAGACCTATAATATATTGATGGACAACAGTATAACAGGGGACCTTTAACAAACCTGGTGTATTTACATGATATACCTTTTATCAGATAGCTTTCTGGTTGTGTTCCTCAGGCCACAGATCCAGATGCAGGGCTTAATGGCCAGGTGCGCTACCGGATTGTGAATCATCCTGATTTGTTCACAATCAGCGCTAATGGCAGCATCTACACAAGAGTGCCTCTCGACCGGGAGCGCAGGAGCCAATTCGACCTGGTGGTAGAAGCTTCAGATGGGGCCGTAGATCCACGGCGGACCACCTTGACCCTCTCAATCCAGGTCATGGATATCGATGACAACAGCCCAGTCTTCTCCCAACAAACTTATGTGGTGAACGTACCCGAGAATAGCCCTTTAGGGACTGTGATCCTAAAGCTAAGCGTAAGTACTTTTGAATGTGTTCAAGTTATTGTTGTCTTTCCGTCCTTAAATGTCTTCCTTTATATGATGTGGCATGAGAGCTTTAACTACAGTTGTTGTAACAAGCTTTTAGCATCTTTTAAATTCAAATGAAGGCAATTTAGTTTTTAAATGTCAGATGCTTCCAGACGGAAACATTTACACTGACAGAAACATACACAGCCTCATATACACAGCAGAGAGAAAACAATGATTGTCCCCTTTCATGACAGTTCTTTGGGCATTTTAAGACTCAAACAGAATGAGACATGAAGCTAGCTTTACTCAAGTCGTAACCAGCCTTTTGTAGAGGATCATTTGTCCATCTGTCCTGGCAAACATGACTATAATGTTACACAACTTTAAAAACACTTTGGAAATGAAGTTGAAGACACTATGCAGGTCAAACACAGAGTGGTGGAAGGCAAGTAATTGCTGGTATATTGAAAGTGAAATTTTCCCAGAGAGAGATCAAGTAAGGGAGGGTGAGAAGCAGAGGGGTGAGAGTTGAGTGTGAAGGGCGTTGAATAACAGTAGCACTGTGACACCATTAATCTCCTTGACAACATCATCTCAACTCTTTAACAGACACAGGGGGCTGGCAAAACACCTTAAGAGCATGAGAAGAGTGAGAAGAGCCTAAGAAATGGAGGAGTCGATGAGTTTGTTAGCTTGCCACGACTGCTTTTACTTTAATGTATTTCCTTTTTCTTTGTGTGTGGACCAATAAATATTGTGTGTATCTCTGTGTGGAATTTGCATCCTCAAAACAACATAGCAACTACATGTTCCACCATCTATAACCTGCATCTATTAATATTCCATTGCTGCAGCCTTTGTGAATTATGTCTACTTTGAGAGTTGAGATCTGATGCGTTGAGGACCAACTTAAGCTTCCCTTACGGCCCGTCTACACTACAGGCGTCGAAAAAGCTTGAAGCTGGGCGTGTCTGAGGCTTGGCGATTTTTTGCGAGCAACGCGACCAACAACCAATCACATGAATCTCCCGCCCCCGACATACAAAGCAATAGCAATGTTAAAACGAAGTAAACTGGATATAAAATCCCCAAACAGGCGAAAACCTCCCTCCATGCCTCGCTCCTCCGGTTTGTATCCCGGTAGATGAACAGAGACTGATCATACAGCACCGGGTGATTCACTACCGCTATAATTAATTTTCCCTCCATTTTTTTTAATATGAGGAAATGACCTGCGTAGTCTCTCCCAGCATACACGTGGTTTGATTGGCTTGCTTGTACTGGCAGATTTGCATAAACGGGATTTCATTGGCTGACGCCAGCTTCGAGCAAGCATCGAGCCTCAAAAGTTGAACATTGTTCAACTTTTGACGCCGATAGACGCTCGCGATGCTTGCAACGCCTTGCCATGCTACCCACAATGCAGTTCGGCAAAGTTTGAAAATATCCTACGTCACCCCATTCAAATGAATGGGCGAAGCGTTGAAAGCATTTTTTGACGCCTGTAGTGTAGACGGGCCGTTAGTGGTTTAATTTAATCAGAACCTATAAATGATTGATGCAAGTAACCCCTGCAGCATAAAAATGCAGAATTAGAATATAAACATTAATATTCATTATCCACAGCCACAGTGCTTATATATGTGTAAGAACATATATTTGGCTCTTCCTCTCTCTTTCCATCTGCTCACATGTCTTCTGTTTTATTTAATGTGTATTAAATGTTTTCCGCACTCACACTTTTTGTTGTACTTCTCAAAGGCGGTGGACTCGGACCTCTTCTCCAATGTAACGTATCGGATCAAGACTGAATCTGCCAGGCAGCTGTTTTCTCTAAACCCTGTCACGGGGGAGTTAGCAGTGCTGCAGACACTGGACTTTGAGGACCTGGCAGCTATGGGCATGGGGGCCTCGCACACCTTCCAGGTGGAAGCTGTCGACCAAGAAGGGGTCATGCCTCCTGGGCAGGCCACAGTCACGGTCCGCATCACGGTAAGAGCCCTTGGATGGTCCGTCCAGCAGAACCTCTCACTGATCTATTCTCCTACCATTTTTCCTCTCTGTCCCTCAGGAGAACAGCTCTGGCACTGAATATGTGGTGACTCATCAGCAGAGTTCATCAGGACAAAGAGAACTTGATGGATAGCTGTTTCTGCCTGCTTATTTCAGATCTCAATGAGCCATTAGCTTTGTGACAGCAATTATGTTTTTCAGGAGCTTGTATTCCCTTTACAATCTTTCAAGAGATTAACACAGCTGAATCCCAACGAGAGGATTAGACGCCTTATGTTGTGGTACTATTATGTGTGCGCGTTTGTGTGCGTTAACGGGCCCGTGTTTTCAGTCTGTGAGCTATTCTGCGCTTCTAAATGTTTGCATACACATTCATCTCTGCTTCAGAAATTCACTCAAGCCCTAGTGGACTAAACTTCTGCATAATAAAGCTCTCTTTATTACCCCGAGTGGAAAAGAGTATTTGAGCTTTTTTCAAGCAGGCTCGCCACATGGCCTGCCAAACCTGTAGAGTGAGTTTGTCCTCTGGTAAGGACAAGCTTTGTTGCAGTGTTCGTGCTCTCACCCAGGAACTGTGTTTGATAGGATAAGGCTTTGCACAGCTGCTGATATCAATCCAATGTCTGCTATTTAAAATTGCAGACATGAATTACAATGAGCGTAATGGATTCACGCAGGCTTCTCGGGGACCGGGAGTTGGAGCTGATTCCACTGATTCCATTTCCTTCCTCATACAACACCTCTAGAGGGTTATTTGAAGTTGTTTGTGTTTGATTTCTTCTTGTGTTATCTTGTTGTCATCCCTTTTGTCGGATGCCTTACAATGATGGACTGAGTGTCTTGCGAGTCTTTTTTTTCCTGAATGACCCTTTGGGGGTTCTTCTATTCTTGTACTGTGGAAGTGTAAGACAGGCACCTTTCATTTAGGTGTAGGTGTGTTTCTGTTTTTGTGGAAAGATGCTGTATGTAGCACGGGTATATGCTTCAAGCAAACCCAAGTGTATCTGTGCATGTGTCCTGTTAACAAGTGGAGCACGAGGATCAGGCTTTGTTGTTCAAAGTAGGTGCCGAATCATAGATTTTCTGCTGGGAAACGCTAAACCTGTGTTCAGATCAAAGTGAGGCTGCCCTCCAACACTGAGTTTAGAGAACACATACTGTTGCCCATGGCTCAGTCAAAACTATGAAACATGAACAGAAAAGTCAAGAAAAGGGAGGATCAGACTCCCGATGTTATACTACAGAGATAACCTATTCCTGAGAGATAGGTGAATGGCTTCCTGAGTTTTTATTCTCACAAAGAAAGGGGTTGCTCCGTTAACAAGATTTAATTTCCCTGCAGGCCAATACAATGGTAGAGCTCTGGTGCATTATTTACTGGGAGAGGTCATTAAAAGCAGTGGTGGTGTGTAGTTCCCATATGTGCTCTAGCAGCATATTACTGAATCACTATATATCACACTTATTACTGAATTACAACAAAACAGTTTCATTACCTAAAGGGGCAAAAAGATATGGAGTAAGAGATCAATATGTCTTCAATTAAACATCAGACTGTAAATTCAATAGATCAGAAAACCCCGGTAATGGTTGTCTTCTCATCAAGCCGTAAATGCACCATAGGCTTATTTTCTTTCTATTCTTAAAAAAAATAAAATGTAAATCTTGATTCAAATCAACCTACAATACATATATACTGTATGTAGTTGATTACCATTCGGATCCTTAACACAATAACTAGTTTTGTAATTTATCAGTATAGATATACCAAACACAAAAAAACAGAAATTAACTATGGATTACTCAATTTCACAGCGGCAGTAAGAGTATGTTTTCGCAATTTAATTAGATGTCAATATTTATAACCAATACATTCATCTTAGGGAGGGGGGGGGGGGAAATACATTTAATGGTTCACTTTTCAGATTTTAAGGGCTAATTGTATATCTTCAATTTTGAATATGGATGTATTATTTGTTATCTGTAATTATTCCAGTTAACAATGTATATATATGTTTATATGTAATCACATTCAGCTCTGATACACAGTACAGAGCCTGGGGCATGGGGAATTACTGCAGTGGGAAAGTGTGCCTCAATCCACAGTAATTGCTGGAAGTGTTAGCAGAAATCAAACAGAGCAGCAGTTGCAAAATCTGCACTGCTACGATATAACTTTTTCAGCATGCAGACAGCATCGCGAAAGTAGCCGTAGACTACAGTGATAAATGTATTTGACCCTTTTATTGCCAAATGTGGTCTGTCACGGAAAGCATATCCATCTCCCTGTTCTCTATAACCTGTTAATCTGCAGTCAGTGGCTAAACAATTTGTTCTCTGCTGACTCAATAATGTCATATAACTTCATGAAACCATGGTAACAAATTTCCCGGAAACGTTCCTGATACACTAACATTAATTTAATCTCTTTTTTTCTTTTTTTAAGGACATGAATGACTTCTCCCCCATCTTTACCCAAGACCTGTATACAGGCATGGTGGCACCCAATGCAGAGAAAGGAACGGTCATCACAACTGTTTTTGCTGAGGACCGAGACCCAGCAGTGAGTATAAAACACAATATTTGTCACACTTCACATTTATATTATAAATATGAAAGATACACAACAGACGGATCAGCAAAAGGAAGTCTTAGCAGATGGGGGTGTTTCCATTTCAAAGCACACCGAGTATGTAGACTCAAACTGTGTGCTTAATAAGGGTAACGGAGATAAAAGCCTTCTTTTGTGCATTTTACCTACTCACTACATGTTGTGCACTCAGAACATCAGCCAATGTCAGCCCTAGCATTTCACACAATGCATTTTAAAGATGTGTTCAACACTCCGATGCTCTCATTAGAGCTTTTGTAATGGGGTCTTGTTCAGCGCCATCGCTGGTATGAGTCATCCATTACTTGCCTCAGACAGCGTCATGTTTCCTCAGACTGCTTCCCCTCATCTGAGCAGCTTCTCCTGGGACTGGAGCTATGAAGATTTATTTCCCTTTTTTATGGAATCTGCAAATCAAGGAATGAAATGACACAAATGCTTAAAAGATGAATCTCGTGACCTTTCCAGTTTATTACTTCAGGTCTGTCCAGATGTATGTTTAGGATAGCACATGTCCTGAGAGGGTTTCATGTTATTCACCTGAGCTGAACTTCTTTTATTGGCAGTTCCACCCACCTTAATATTGTATTGCTCTTGGTGAGTCAGCATCCTTCTTGCTCCCATCTCCTCTTTGTTTTTGTTTGCAATTGAGATTTCACCAAAACTTTTTTCAATTTTCACTGAGAGAAAAGGGGGAATAAGAAACACCCAGTGACTTCCCTGCCTTGCCCTAATAGCCTCCAGCTCTGAATGTGTTTTTGAGTGGAGCCCTGTATGGCTGGATTTTATGCTTGTTATTAGTGGCCCTCCTGCTGATAGGATCTCACCAGGGCTGGGTGAGCTTGTGTACTCTCTGCTGCACGTAAACGCTGAGGGATGTGGAGGCCTGTCAGTCCCAGAGTGCCACAATGACTGCTGTACATCTCACTTCTCCTCTCAGAGGGTGATTCTCCCTCCTCCTGCTTCCCCTCCCCACCCCTTCTCCCCCTCACTGCCTTTGCAACCATGAAATCATTCTTTTTAATGTGAACTTTTCTCCTTATACAGGATTTGTTTTCCCTGAGCAGTTCTCATACAGCAATCTTGTGTAGTAAAAACATATTCAACAGTGCTAAGACCCAAATGATATGTAAGAAATCATTGTGTTACCATGAGCATAGCGGTAGCCAGAGAGACATGGGAGTGACTCTGGGAAGTGGTTTGACAGACAGAGGGATTAGATTGTCTAACAGGAGCGGACTAACCCAGTCTCTAATATTGACCTGGATTTGGGAGCTCAAAGCATTTTATTGACAGGACACCTGTCATAGATTCCTCTGGTTGAAAAGGGCTTAGTCTAATGCTTGCTAAATATACACACACACACACACACAATATATTACACTGGCTCCTAAAAACCTGCGCGCTCAAAGAAAGAAAGCGAGAAGAGGAAACACTCTGGCTTGTAGTCTTGATGCGACAAACACGGAAAATGCATAATCTGTCTGATATAATGGTGTACATTACCTCTTCTATTTGTTCCTAAATGTAAAAAATAGGGCATAATATCTACCCACCCACATCTTGGGAGTAGCGATACTAACCTCAACGTTAAAATCACCTTGAATAAGAAGGGAGATCACCATGGAGACAAATGTTCCAGGAAGAAGCTTTTTATACTGTTATGTGTTACTAAAACGTTTATTTTTAGCTGCTTAGTCCAGAAAACTTCCTCAGCCTCTGGCGCCTACAGTTTTCCGCTCAAAGAGGCTGAAACATGACATTGAGGTCAAGTGGCTGTGAGGTTGCATGAAAGCACAGATTGCTTGAGCATATGGGGTCACAGATATTCCACACATGTGCATGTTTTCTGTGGCATCGTTTATCACAGCACAGAACTGTGTGAATATGAGATTCCCCCTATTTCTTCACTGGTCTCTCAGTAACTTGCAAATCAAATAAATCAGGCGTTTTCAAACAACCCTAATACAAACGAAGTTGTTTGAACATTTTGGCTCTGCTGCTTCACTCTCTCAGCTCAAGCCTTGCTTTTGCAATGTGTGTCTCTGAAGCGTCGCTCTGTGCTTCTGAGCTTGTTCTTTAATTCATGAACTGGCTGTTTTATACTAAAGATAATTGTATTTGTGTTTAAAAAAAATATAAGAAAAGCAATTCATGAATAAAAAAGCATTATTGTTGCAATAAGCAAGATTTATTTGATGCAAGTTCTGTCTGTCTATATTCTTCGTCACATATCTGCAATGTTAATGACACAGCCGGGACAATTACTCTGTCACATAAAAGATTAATAATCTGTGAGTCGGAAAGGTCTGTAGAGGAGGGCAAAATCAGATGTTACAAAGTGTATCTCAGCACTTTACTCCTTCCTGATCCTGGAAAAAAACGTTTGTACAGTATGCACAGGTTAATATGAGAAACACAATTTGAAAGGTATTGTGTTATTAGTTAGGGAAGTTATTGTCTTAATACGGATTATTTCATGGTTTGTTTTTATTTGTTCCTGACCTTTTAAAGCTAATTTAGAGAAGGGTTTCAAAAGGCAAACTTGCAATACTAGTAGGATGAAAAATAAGTGTACTAAAATGTTCATAATATGGTTAGCACTGAGCAAAAATATTTATAACGTTATGTGCTGCCATCATTGTGAAGGTCTTAGTATGAGATTATTTTGTGGAAGATTTCTTTTCATGAATGTTCCTGTCCTGCCATCTTTTCCATGTCATGTTAGAAAACAAGTTGTAGAGCTTTTAGAGATGAGGATCTTTTTCTGAGAATCCCTTTAGTGAATTCACTTAGATAGTTTTTCAACCTCTTAGAGACACATTTGTGTGAGTAAGCCTCCCCACTGCCACTACAGGATTCACCTCTCTCTCTAGCCCCAGCTTTTTACCCCGTCCCTTGGGAGGGAAATTAGTTCAGGCAAAGGCAGCAGAGCTATAGGTTACTTACGTAACCCCAGTTCTCAGAGTAACATGAAGTGAGATGTCTCACTATGGGATGCGCCTCATCGCGGAGCAAACAGAAGCATCAATCTCATTACGCCAATCCTGATTTGCTGGAGATCTTGACGTCAGCGTCAGGGAAATCACCCCCTATAAGTAGCTTGCGCCACAACGCATGCGCCATTCAAAATAAGCACCTCTTCTCGCTTCACCATAGCAAGGAGGGCCGTCTGGTGAGACATCTCACTTCATGTTACTCTGAGAACTGGGGTTACGTAAGTAACCTATAGTTCTCATTCATAACACTCCGTTCGATGTCTCACTATGGGAAATTGTAGCTCCCGTATTGCCAGACGAGCTTATCTCGAAAATCACCAAACGTCCAACCTGTTAGGAGGCAGACAAAAGTGAGCGGCGAGGACCAGCTCGCCGCTGCACCAATGTCTTTGATGGGAGACATCCTGGACAGAGTCCAGAATGCAGCCAGACTCTGAGTCGAAAGAGCTCGCGGACCCGAGGGTGCCTGCGAACTCTGACTCGTATGAGCCCCAAAGCAATTGCTTCCACAGACCAGTGGGAGAGCCGTTGCTTAGTAACAGGCTTGCCCTTATAAGGGTTAGCCCAGGACACAAGGGGTTGGTCATTATGACAAAGCACCCTTGATCTGTCCCTGTACGTGCGTGAAGCACGGGCTGGACACGGCAAATCCGGCCGCTGTTCCCCGGAGGAATACAGTGGCGGGGAGGATGCCTTAATGTCAAATGTGGTACCCGAACCGACCGCCTTAAGATAAAGGCAGGGTCAGGCTTCAACCACACTCTGTTTGCCCTGGGGCAAACTGAGTGCATGAAAACTGTACAGATAGTGCATGAGTGCCACTGGCTCGCTTGGCAGCTGCCAGGGTCAGCGTCATGTCACACTGTATTTAGATTGTACCACTCACGGGCCAGGCCCATAGAGCCAAGCGCTCTGGGTGTGGGTGAAAGATCGCCCCCCCCGCTTGGGACAGTATGTCCCTGCGTAGTGGGAGCTGCCATGGCTGCCCGCACAGCAGCTGATATATCTCCGCTAGCCAGTACATAGCTGGCCAGTGCGGAGCAATCAGGATAAGTGTGTGGCGTTGCTCTCTCACTCTGGCCAGAGTTGGGGGTATCAGAGCCAGGGGTGGGAACGCGTACAGAAGGCCCGGGGGCCAATTGTGCGCGAGTGCATCCACGCCTAACGGTGCATTTAGATCGCGCATCGAAAAGAACAGCTGACACTGAGCGTTGTCTTTCGATGCGAACAGATCCACCGCAGCTCTGCCATAACGCACCCACAGCTGGCTCACAATCCTTGGATGTAGAGTCCAGTCTGCATAAAGTGGTATACCTCTGGACAGTAGATCTGCCCCGAGGTTCCTCACTCCCGGTACGTGCGTCGCTTTCAGAGAGAGGAGACGCCTACCGCTCCATAGGATAAGTTTGCGCGCCAGTGTGTGTAACTGGAGAGAACGCAAACCCCCTTGGCGGTTAATATACGATATTGTGGTCGTATTGTCTGTCCTCACGAGGACGTGATGTCCCCTGAGGAAAGGCAGAAAGCGTTTTAGGGTGAGAAACACCGCTAAAAGCTCCAGGTAATTTATGTGCGCCCGCTGGAGGTCTCTGCTCCAGAGACCCCTCACCGGGCGACCTTCATAAATACCTCCCCAACCTGTCAGACATGCGTCCGTGGTGACCACTTTCCGTGAAAGGACAGCACCCATAGGCACACCTCGTACTAGAAAAGTCGGGTGCAGCCAGTGGCGCAGTGCCATTACGCATTTCACAGTAACCATCACTCTCCGGGGTTTAGTTTTAGGGCGGCCACCCAGCGCTGAAACTCCCTCATGTGTAAGCGTCCCAGTCGTACGACCAGGATGGCTGACGCCATGAGCCCCAGCAATCGCAGGCATGATCTGAAGAGAACATGTTTGCGCAGCCGGAAAAGAGCGAGACAAGCTCTGAAAGCTTTCACTCTATCCGCTGACAAGCGAGCTGAAAAGGGCACCGAGTTCAGGCGTAAACCCAGGAAGAGTATAGTCTGCGCGGGGCACAACATGCTCTTCTCTGTGTTTATTATGAAACCCAGGTTGAGCAGGTGCTTTACGAGGACATTTGTCTGCGTAACAGCCTCCTGCGCGAGAAGCAGCCAGTCGTCCAGGTAGGTCGCCAGGCGAATACCTTGTTGTCTTAACGGGGCTATCGCGGCTTCCGTACATCGTAGAAACACCCTTGGACTGAGAGACAGACCGAAGGGGAGTACTCTGTATTCATAACAGATCCCCTGAAATGCGAATCTCAGATATTTCCTGTGTGGGTAATATACTGGGATGTGAAAATACGCATCTTTCAGGTCGACTGATGTAAACCAGTCGTCTTGTCGCACGAGCCGCAACAGAGATGTGTGAGTGAGCATTCTGAACTTATATCTTCTTAGATATTTGTTCAGAGCCCTCAAATCAAGTATTGGCCGAATTCCGTTCCCTCCCCGTTTGGGAACGAGGAAGTACTTGGAATAGAAGCCGCCCTGACTCTGCTCGGCGGGTACAATAGATATAGCCCTCTTTTCTAGGAGAGAGAGAATCTCTTTCTCCAGAATATGGGCTGACTCTCCTCGGGCCTGAGAATGCAGAATGCCCGAGAAGCGAGGGGGGGTGACAGCAAATTGTAGTCTGTAGCCCCGTGTTACTGTCTTGAAAACCCAAGCAGATGATGTGAGCATCTTCCACTGCATGCTCCTTAGAGCCAGTGGAGATGTCACATCTCTTCCCCTCTGAGTCTCTATTTGTTGTGTTATGGGGCCCTCTAGTGTCTGAACACAGTGGTGCCCCCTTTCGACAATCCCCACCGACACTGCGCATGCGCATGACGGTGGTGCCTTCACAACCCCAGCCGGCACTGCGCATGCGCGTGGCGGTGGTGCTTTTAAAACCCCAGCCGGCACTGCGCATGCGCGTGACGGTGGTGCCTTCACAGACCCGCCTGTAATCCGCCTTTTGAGAGATGCCGAAGCTGCTCTCAGAAGGGGAACAGTTGACGGGCTGTTTATTGGTTTTATTGTTTTTCTTATCATTTTTTTGAGCTGCGCCCTCGGCCTGAAGCCTGGATGCGTCAGCGGCAAATGTTTAATGACAGAGGAACAAACAGATTTGTGACATGTGTTTTTTGCGGACTTGAGGATGGTGTTGAGGCATCTCTCGAGGCGGCGGGAACACATTTAGAGCTGGGGAACCGTGGACTTCCAGCTTTGTCACGGAGGGGAGAAGGAGGGGCTGTCACGCCGCTCGCTTCTTCTTCCTCACCTGCTGGCCGAAATTCTGGGTTGGCTGCGCCTGAGCTGCAGCCGGAACCGGAGATTTTCTGGACCAGCTCGCCCTCGTCTCCAGCCTGGGCTGGGGACTCGGGGCGAGCTGCGACCTCTGCGTTTTCGGTGTTTTAAACCGAGCAAGGTTCAAGGCAGCTTGGGCGAAGGACTGCTGCTGCGAAGGCAGCGGCTGGACCCTTTGAGGGAGGCAGAGGTGGAGTGCCTCGTCCTCCCTCTTTTTCGACTCACACCTATTTTGCATGGAAGCAAGAGCGGAGCCGAAAATTCCCTCGGGAACGATGGGCATATCCAGCACATCCTCCTTTTCCCGGTCTGGGAGGTTGGTGAGGTTGAGCCATCTCGCTCTTTCCTGCACCACCATGATCCCCATTGCCTTACCTGTGGCCTGGACGGCGCAGCGTTGGACACGGAGACAGATGTCCGTGACCGCTGCCATCTCGTCCATAGTGGCTGCCCCCGGGTTACCCGACAGGTCCTCGCAGAGCTCCGCTTGGTAAGCGGTTAGCAGCGAGGCCACATTCAGGGCCCTGGCGGACAACGCTGCGGCTTTGTAGGACCGTTCAGTCATTGTCGACTGAAATCGGTCCGACTTTGCCGGCAGCGTGGGGTTCCTGCTTGGTGACGGGCCCATCCTCGGTAGGAGGTGGGCTGCTACCAGCGGTTCCATGGGCGGTATGCGGAGCAGGCCGAGTTTCTCCATTCCGTCACAGTCTAGGGAGGAGGCACCCTGGATTGGGACCTTGTTGCTGAAGGGCCGGTCTCTCCACGAGACCGACACCTCATCCAACATCTTCGGGAAGACCGGAAGGAGTTGCCTCTTTGTCCGCGCTGCTTGGGGAAAATGTTTCCCTTCGTAGCGGGACCTGGAGGTCTCCTTGGCCATTTCAGGCCACGGGATGTCGAGTCTGGCCGCAGCACGTTTGCACACGGCCTGCAGGTCCATACTCAGACAGGGCGAAGCTGGTGTGCTATCGTCTGGGAGAGCAGCCCTCGCTCCAGGCTTTGCAGCCTGAGCCGATGACATGAAGATGTCCTCTTCATGTTCATCCGACTCGGACAGGAGGAACACCGAGGCGTCCTCTTCGTCCTCGTCGTAGTGAAGCTCGAGGACATCCTCCGCGAGTGAGACCATGGTGAGGTCTAACCGGGAGCCCCAGCTCGGTAAAGCGTGGGGTCCCGTTCCCGCGTGTCTTGCCGCCACCGGGTCCCGGCCTGCCAGGGCGCGGGTATCCGGTTCTGCGGCCATCTCAGATACTGAGCCCCAGACCGACATGGAGAGGGGTTCACTCTCTGTGGCAGATGTCCCCGCGTCGTGACTGCCGGCCGGCAGGTCAGAGGACATGGGGGGTTCCTGCTCCGACAGGCTAGCTTGGCGTGCTAGCCGTCGGCGGAGGCTCTTTACGGTGAAGCGGACACAATGTCCGCACGAGCCGGGGTTGTCGATAGCGCCTGGGGCGTGTTCCAGCCCGAGGCAGGACGAGCAGACCTGGTGTGTGTCTGTGCCCGAGATCTTCAACCCGCAGGCCGCAGAGTCGAGCCACCGAGTCCCTGACTCCTCTGGTGTGAGGGAGAGGGGCGTCCATCTTGTTCGCCTCGTGGCGTGGAGAGGACCCGCTCTCAACAGGTAGGTTGGGAGAAAAAGAGGTAACCACCCTGTCCTAAATCCGGAGAAAAGGACGGTGTGGGTCTTTTATTCCCGGAGAATACTGACTGGTTGTGGCAGTATGCTCCTTTTAATCCTTTCCTCCTCCGTGGGGAAGAGAAAAGAAAAGACTTCCTCGCTACCGTGGTGTCGGTAGTGAGGGAGCAAGCTAACGCTAGCTTGAAAAAAGTCAGACCTAGCTTACTTTCCGGGGAAAGAGAGCGGCGAGGTCGATTTCAACAATAACTAGCGTTAGTAATTACCGTCTTCCTGCGAAGCAGAAGGAGTAGCCGGCAAGCGCCCGTCGACCGAAATGGATATTTGGGTTCAGTCTGTGGACCGTGAAGCTTGTCCGGCTACCATAGAGATGTGCTCTGAAGCGAGAAGAGGTGTTTGAATGGCGCATGCGTTGTGGCGCAAGCTACTTATAGGGGGTGATTTCCCTGACGCTGACGTCAAGATCTCCAGCCAATCAGGATTGGCGTAATGAGATTGATGCTTCTGTTTGCTCCGCGATGAGGCGCATCCCATAGTGAGACATCGAACGGAGTGTTATGAATGAGAACTTAAAGCTTATTAAGAAGCAGACTGGATTTGGGGTCCAAAGGGAGAAAACTGGGATAAAATGAGATATAGAGATGATTAGTAATCAGGGACCATGATAGATGTTAATCAAAGGGTCATATTAAAATCCAGACTCTCGCTAATGAATGTAAAAGTGTGTTACTCTGGAGACTAAAAGGGTGGGTTTAATGGAGAAGTTTTTTTATTCCAAATGAAAGTGAAAAGGTCTGAATCAATGAATGGTTTACATTAGACTGATAGAGGGAAGTGAGAAATGTGGGTAACTTTTCAGGTTACACAGAGTGAAGAGCAACTTTTTCTCATTAAACTACTTCAGCTCTGTTGCATGATGAGGACACAAAATGTAACAACAATTAAGTTGTATGTCTAAGTAATATCGTTTCACCCATGTCAAATTTGCAGAACCGGATAACTCTGACATACCCTCTCATTTTCACCGTTGGATTGTTTTTGTGAAAAGTGAAAGGTGGTGTCTGGATGTTTGGATTTCTGTGGTTCATGTTCTTCTTTCTCCTTCCTCCAGGGCACTCCGGCAAGTTTTGTCCGCTACAGAGTGGACCTGGACATGTCACCGTACAGCGGGAGCATCTTTGATGTGGAAGAGGAAACTGGAAGAATCATCACTAAGGTCAACCTCAATGAGGAGCCCAGTGTCAACTTTAAGGTCAGTGGCAGTAATTATGGTGTGAATAGTGATGATTAACTCCAAGCTATTACTATTATACTGTTAATTAGTCAAGACACCTAGTCCACTGTTTGTCATTAATGGTTATACTGTCAGGTTTGGCAGTAATTTATCTTCTGTTATTAAGTCATTCAACTTTTCTCAAGGATTCCTTGAATGATGTATGTCATTATGTTCAATGATGTTGAGAGAACAATTAAAACATCATGATGGTGGCTCTGACTTGTATAATGTATTATTTGATCAAAAAATATCTTTAAGATATCATTCCACTGTATGTCAGGAATACAATAATCACAGTGTTCTTTTAAACAGCATAGACACTGGCTGCTTCTCATATTCAGCTCTCTGCCTTGCATGTTGTACTATCTTTATATATACAGTCTATGGGTTTTACTGGGCTATAAGCTGCAGTGACAACTAGCTGTTTTTTTTATTATAAAACAACAGTTTTAGGGTATAATTACTGTCCCAGTGGTATTGCCTTTCTTGTGTAACCAGTAATATTGAGTTTTCCTATCGATCTATCAAAGTCCCTCCACATGTTGTTGTTTTTTTGCTGATTCAAGAAGAAAGGAACATGTCTAGTTGGGAGCAGGTTACATGGGGATATAAGGTCCAAATGTGCCGCTTACCCTCCCATGTTGTCTTGTTACCACTGTCCTTTCTTGTTTTATTTCTTAGTTTCTTTACAAATGTGTCAGTGTTTATCGTCCTCCTGCCTATCTCCCTTTCCTGCCGACACTCTCCCCCCTGATTCCCCCGAGGCTCAAGTCTCCACAGTCTATGAATGCAGATCAATACATTCATACTTGCTCTCTGGGAGCTTTGCAGGCTGCTTCAGATCCTATTTTACCAGTCTTTCTTTATTAGGATGCAGAACATGTCTATGAAAAATGCCTGGCAACCTCAGAAAGGGAATTACTTGTGTAGTGAGAAGTAGTGTGGTGGAAAATAATAATAATGTTTTGCTTGCATTTGCATGTGAGGGTTGCTTATGTCTGCTCTCCTGCCCACTGCAGTTGTTTGTGATAGCCTTTGATGATGGAGAGCCGGTGAAGACTAACAGCACAATGGTGGAGATCACTGTTCTTCAGCCTTCCCGCATCCCGATCTTCACCCAGGAAGAGTACAGGTACGTCTGCTGGACAAACTGTTGATGCAGCTGCCTCTGCCTGAACATTCACACATCAAAGAGCAGCTTAGGCTGAAGTGCCAGACAGGGAGGGACAGTGATAAAGGCTGGAGGCGGGAGTAGACAAAGTATCTCAAAAACACCTTCTCACACATTTCCATCGGTGGTCACTTCTTCCATTCAGCTTCAGATATACATTCATAAATATTTCATCTCTAGGTAAATCATATATTCTCCCTTGAACTGCGGGGAATGGCTGGGAAGTCACTATTCTTCATACATTTATCATTGTTGTAATAACGATAGCTATCTGCCCATTACTGTGCTCAGCCAGTGGCACCAGTTGTGATTCTGTCTCCGTCTTTATCGTGCCGTCTTTTCCGTGCATGACTGATTACTGAGTTTTGAGTATAAATATGCATTAGCGCTTCGGGTTAGACGCTGCAGATCATCACTGCTGTAAACCACATTTGTTTCTCTCTGAGGGTTGAGCCGAGCTTCCCTCTGAGTTTATTAAGAGTCGCTTTTGACAAGATTAAGTGTTTAGATTGTTAAACTGGCTGAGAGAGATGCAGGATGAGGGAACATAATCTAAAGTGCTCTTACATGACTTACTGCTACACATGCGATATACGGCTGTACGGGGCCAGGGCTTTGTTTGTACTGTGACTCAGGAGGCGTCCAAGAAGTTGTCTATAATTTTTTGTAAAGCACTTTGAATTGCCTTGTGTTGAAAAGTGCTATATAAATAAACTTGCCTTGCCTTGCCTTGCCTTGCCTATAATGAAAAACAAACATGGATTATTAACATTCCAGCTGTAGCTCCTACTCATGATATGATGAAATAATGAAAAGGCTTGTGAGTACTAGCATTAACAGTTGCTGTCCATTTGGCTCTTCTGCACTTTGAGGAGATTCTCAGTGGCGGTTCTAGACCAATTTGACTGGGGGGGCCACTGGGGGGCCAGTTATTTTCTGAGGGGGGCACAATAAATGCAGGACGAAAAAGAGAACTAGACAGTATGAAGTAATTGCGCATAAGAAAACAATGCAATACAGTTATTGGTATTTGTTTCAGTACACTTATTTATTTCAGATAGATCTTATAGTTATTACTGTTAGCTTCAGCTTAAGTGCAATGTTTATAATATGTATATAAAAATAAAGGCAATGAACAGTTACATCTCTACTTTACATAAGGGTGTCTGCACAATTTCACATTACAGCAAAAAAATCCTGCGGTTTTGGCAAAACCGAGTACCAGAAAATATACATTAAAAAAAACAAAAACAAAACTTTTCATTGTTAGGGGGGCCACAGGGGGGGTCAGAGGTCAGTGTTAGGGGGCACTGCCCCTCCCCCCTAGAACCGCCCCTGTTCTAGACTGACCCTGAAGCTTTTTATGGCCTGATAGCAAAGTTGCCTGGCACAATGCAGTCTCCGGGAGTTAGAGAAATGCTTGTTTTAAGGGGATTGATTTACTAACTGATTTACTTAAGAGTTGGCAGACTTTCTTCTTTAACATAATTTGATATGCCTTAATGCATAACACAGGAATGTAAATCCTGCCCTAACTTTAACCCTGTCAGCACATCAGTTGAAGTGTGTGTCCTTTCTTTGTTTACATCTCACTTGCTTTTGACAATGAGTGCCCACGTGACTGTGCATATGTGTTGGTACTTGTGTATTTCTTAAACAGATGAGTTTGGGTGCACTGCATACATCTTTTGTAATCCAGCACTTTGTGTGTGCGCTCACGTTCTCCCGTTGCTCAGCTTTATTCGGTGATTGATACACAGGCGCAGCAGCATAGCCCTTTGAAAGGCCATTGATTACACTTTGAATGAGTGCTGTGTCTGACACACACACAGAAGGTCAGGACCATAGGTACCAACCTCTGTAGGCGTCATATTGACAGTGCTAACCATACACAGTGGCAGGCCTGCTGTAAATTATGAGCTGTGAAAGCATTAGCCAGGTGCTCGAGCCTCTCCTGCTGGACGAGGCTCTCTCCAGCGGAGAGCGTCCAATCTGCTCACCATTCCTCGCCTCTCTATCTCTCCCTATCGTCTTCTCCCTGAGGATCCTCCTGAACACAAATCACTCTCTAAACGTCCACAGAAGATCTCATCTGTCTCTGTAAAGGCAGTTAGTTATGGCAGCAATCAGGTGAGCTATGCCTTCAGATTCAGAGCCCACAATTAAAACAACTCTGCAGGGCTTTGCCTGACTTAATGATTTCTACTCCTGCTTTATAGCGGGGCCCTTCCATCTGTCAGAGGGAGATGAGCGGCTCCTAGTCATTGTTGGCTAAAGTAAATGGTTCATACCCTAGATGCTACTGTAGCAGCAGTTGCCCATGGCTTTTTAAAGGTTTGAGCCAAACACCTTATGCTGTTTCTTTCTAAAGACAAATTTGTTTGTTCAGAACCTGAAATTTGTTTTAAACCTGCATCAGGATAAATGGTTGTTAGCAAATAGTTGCTTGTATTGCTGAGCCTACAGAGAATCGCCAACCAACTCTGCAGCTTTACACGCATTAAGCTTTTTAGTTTAGGGCCAAAAACAAGAGTGAATATTGAACTTGTATCTGTCGATTTGACAGTAGCTAGCCCACTGGAATGGCAGTGTTGCTCTGTCTGCTGGATCTGCTATAACAGCTTGTTAAGCCAGCAGTATGCACGGCTCCATGCAGGGGTTACTTTGAGATTATTTTATAAGAATAATAATATTCTTGCTCAAATAAAATGTTCTCCTACAATTTATAGTGAAAAAAAACTTGGATTTAAATATTTATTGCATTTGTTTTTGCTTGGATCTAGACCCAAGATTATGACTGTGACTTAAAAGTGTGTTTTTAATTTATACATATTTTTTACTTTTTACCTTCAGTTCTATTGCAATCCAGAAGCATTTCCTGCCCAAACTACAGCTTCCAAAATACACCTTACTAAAGGTATTTTCTGGTAGCTGTCAGGGCTTTGATAGTGTCATCTTGATAAATTCATCTATACTGCAAGTGTGTGTTTTAATGGTTGTCAAAGCTTTTTTCTTTTACCCTGTTACTTTTATATTTCTCTCAAACGTAGTAGATAGTCATCCACAGTCTATCAAGGCAGACATTAAGAGTGGATCTACCGGTTAATTGTTTTACAGCAGGATTGTCGTCATGTAAGAATGAAGTGATGATGATTGCAATGACTGTAATTGAAATACAACTTATCATGCAGCCCTTCCAACTACTAACCAAAACATCCCTTGTGCAGTTTAAACTCTTTTTTTAATCATTAAAATGCTTTATCAATTGCTTTTTTTATTTCAAATAGAATATGTGAATGAAGTATGGCTCATGTGCTTGAACAAAGATATTACATTGTAGATGTTTTGGTGGGGGAGAGACCTTTTGAGAGCCCTATCATTAAACCACTATGAATGCTCATTTACATTGAACTCACGGACTCAATCATTTAGGGAAGTCTTTAGCACTGGGCACTTGGGAAGGGAAGGAATATTTATTTCACTGTGTGTGTGGCTAGAGACAAGGAGGGGTAAGCTGCTATCTGACATGGTCCCACTCTGAATTCGCCTCCTGTACTGAGGCTACTTCTCTGGCCCAAGTGTTCCAAACCTGTGGTCTGAGCAGTTTTCCGTGCTGCTTATCTCCCCCGCAGCACTTCCCTTTCTAAATCTACTCTAAATCACATGAGACTTTTGCCTCACTGCTCCTGAGTATGTCATTTTGCTCTCCTTCTCCTTCAGCCCCCCCCCCCCATCCAAAAGCCCCAACATCCCCTGTGTTTTTTCCCTCGGCTTATATCTCTCTCTCTGTCAGTTTTCACTTTGTCTTCCCTTTGCTTCTCTCCTCACTGCAGCTTTCTGTGTGCTTTATTTTGTGTGCCTGTAGATGTGTGCATCTCTCTATAAATCTGTGACTACATTATAAGTTGAGTGCTTGGTGTTATTAAATGGTAATTTGTTACATATTACTCATTAACTTATTATACAGTTATTTGTGTTGAGTCTAATTGTCATTTAAACACATGCCACTAGCAGTATATCACTATATATACATATTGTCGGTACATCTGTGCTTTTCAATAGCATGATTAAGTATAGTTGATTAAAGAGGAAGTTGTTTGTATGTTACCGCTATATCATATTTCAAAAGTTGGTATTCAAAGTGATGAGGATATCATTTGGGAATTAAATGTCAAGCCATTATTTAGTTCACTGTAATCGCAGACAGCAGATGTTGTGCCATACCTGTCATTAATATGCAGTCTGGCAACCTTGAATGAAAAGAGCACCATGTTATACTGTTAGCATAGTCAACAGTGTCAACATTGAGTATTATTACAATAAACAAACAGCTTGTCACTACATATACTTGCCACCCCACTAATGACACAATTAGTGACAGTACGCTGAAATCACTGTGAAGGCATTTTGTTTGCTCCGCCACGCAAACATCGACATGCACATTTTAAAAGAAATAATAATCTTAAAGGTGCCATTTATATAGATAGAGAAATAATTTGTCTCAGCCTTGAGCTGTAGCTTTTCCATTTCTCCTTTACACATTCTTACTTTGGCCATGAATGTGCATGTCGGTGGTAATAGCTCAAAGTGTGGGGTTTTATATGTCTCTTTCCTGCAGTTTCTTGATGTTTACAGTCCATGGAGACTGCCTGTGTACATTTTCTGTGGATGCCTGACCACAGTGTAATCATTGATTTAATGTTCTCAGCAGTTGCACTCACAAATGGCTCCACAGTACCTGAAGTAGAGGTAACTTGTAGCTTGAAATACAAGCCAAAATTGACTCCACGACCATTAGCCACTCATCGAAAAAGCAATGAATGACTTGTCAAATTGAAGGAAAAAACATGTTTGCTCATTTTATAGGAATTATATTGAAGACATGAACTCTACTGTGTGCCCTCCATCTGTTCTTCAAGACATCTACAGAAAAATAGCATTTATTATTTATAGAGAAAACA